GCGTCTCTGAGAAAAGCGCGGACCTGCTCACGGGAATACGAGTGTTTTCATCTTTTTCTGTTTTTAACTACAAGCAGCAGTTGTTAAAGTTTGAAAAATCAAGGAGAAAAGACAACGAAGAAAAATAAGACCTCGAGGTAACTGTTCCCCGGTTACTTCATGCTTCAAATCTCACACAGTGTCAGAAGGGAGCTTCGAGGTTTCTAAGCGAAGGCCGGTCCTTTCAAGTGGTTGGAAACAGGAAACCTGTGCACATGGGACATTTTCCAAAATCGAGCACCCACTGAGACATAATGAAAGCCGCACCACAGTCAAAACACTACAGCCATTCAGAGTATGTCCTCAGACCAAACAATGAAACTAGAAATAAACCAGAAAACTAAAATCCCCTAAATGTCCGAAATTGAAACAAAACATAAATATTTAATGGGTTGATGAAGAAATCACAATGGAAATGAGAAAATCTACTGAACTAAATGATAGAGAACATACAAAACTTGGGGTGCAGCTAAAACAGTGCTTAGAGGAAAAGTTATAGCTTTGTTTCTGGTTATGAATTGTGATTCAAATGTTTATTCATAATGACAATGGCAAAACATTAGTTTTGTATCCATATATGTAGAACCCTTAGCCCATTGTGTGGCATACAATAATCACTCATGATACCTATTATTTCTTTGTTGTTATTATGTCAGTAATACTAGTTAAAGTTTGAGAGGCAGTGTGGCTTCATGATTAAACTCTGAGCTTTAAAGCCATACCACCTGGGTTTGAATTCTTGTACAACCATTTACTAGCTGTGTGTCCTTGTGCAAGTAATTAACCTCTTTGCGTATCAGTTTTCTTATTGGTAAAATAGGGATAATAACAATCCTCTGTGTTGTGAGGATTAAATGAGTGAATACATGTAATACTCTAAGGGAAGTGCTGCCATACTCTTAACACCCAACAAACACTAGCTATTATTAGAGTTCAAGGGAAGATATATTAATAGATAAAAGTGAAAAGATAAGTTGACTCAGTGGACTTAAATGTCATGTAAAGGAATTGAAATTTTTTGTTTAAGCCATGGAGCTAAAACTAATATTTGAAAGGGTACTGTGTACCCAGTATACTACCTCTGCTGGAGGTCACCGTGTACAGGAATTCTCATCTTCTAGTGGAGAAAATTCATACCCGAGAGTGCCTGCCACTCTCATAGATCCCTTCTGGGAGGTTCCTTCTTCATGTATTCTTGCTGGGACCACATGACATTACTTTGTGACCACTGCAGTTCCAAAGACAGATTAGTGGCTCATGCAATGTTCTGACACAAATGTCCATAAAGAGCAATCAATTTCTTTCTTGGGAATTTCACCTGGAGGTATGAGAAGAGAGCCTGTGGCCTGGTATTTGAAACAGAAATAGGAAGATCCCCAGAGGTGATCAGAGACAGAGAAAATAGCTGTGCTATAAAGGCAAGACACTAGAGTGAAGGGCTAAGGATGACAGCTGCTTTGATTGTTAAGAATATACCCATGGAACCTGTTGCAAAATAACTTCTGGACTGACTTCAACAATTTATAACCCATTTCAGTTCCCTCTAGTTAATTTCTGTTTAGTTTTTAAATTAAGCACTATTTAATGCTAAGCACTTAAAAAACACCATTTATGAAATGAATGGATAAATATGAAAAGATAGTTATAGCAACAATCCAGGTCGGAATCCTAGAGAGAGAGGTCTGTGAGTAAAAAACCAAAGGAGCTCTTCCACTCAGGTCTGTAAGATAAGTGAAGCAGGTGCAACACTGCTTTGGGGCACCTCTAACAGGTAGTAAGGGAGCGGATGCAGTTCCCCACAGATAACCGTGGAATTCTGGCACTTGGAGGGCTCTGCCTGTTTAGTCACGATGCCCGACAGAAGACTTCAGCGGCATGCCTGGTGGAGGAATACACCTGGTGGAGTCTCCAGCACCTGGTGATCGGTGGGAGATCAACAGCTGCATTTGGCAGGAGACCTCAGTGCCCTTTAAGAGACAGGATGGGGGACACATCTTGGGTTTTAAGGACACTTGTGGTGGGGAGGGGGGGGAGGGAGTTCTCCAAGGAGCTGAACATCCTTCATTCTCACATGGGCCCAAGATCCAGAAACTGAATTTTCATTGTTGCTGCATCCTACAGGCATGAATTTTGGGAAAACTTGGATTATGCCTTGTTTTATAGGATAATTTTCAGTGAGCTGGAGTGGAGAGACATGGGGGCTGCATGGAGCATTTAGGTGAGTGAGAGAGTTTTTTCCTTCTTTTTG